ACCATACTACATTTTGCTGTTTTCATAGCTTTTCATACATGGATTAAAACTATAACGTATGAGAACCATCTGTGGCAACACAATAAAATGAGATACCAGGTTACAACCAATCCATTCTTCTGTTGAAATTCATAAAACTCCTAGTTAGAACATGTCTGTGCTGACCCAGAAACAAATTACAAAGCATTGGCTTAGACAATGTTGGGTTACCTAAAGTTCAATGATTTCAGATCATGCCTGGAATATGATGGATTCCTCAGTCTGTATTTAAGAGCTATATACCATTTGATACTTCTGGGCCATCATAATGTAGCTTTATTTTCTGTTTTACTAGAATATGATATTGTTTAATTTACATAGTGTACCTGTCAACAGAGGGGCCAACAAATTGGTAGGCCTAGCTAGTAGACGTAACACTCAGGCTATCGGTTTCCTAAGAAAATTGTTTCAGCATGAGCCCTTTACTTTGCTTTAATGTCCCAGTTTCTTAAGAAAGTGATAGACTGAAAACTGCTGGTGACAGGTACACTTTTTAACATAAGCCTGTCAATCCGGTGCATGTCCTGACTTTGTTGAAAAAAAAATAGTTATAATTGCAAGCAGATGTAACCACATTTAATCAACTGGCCCATCCAAAACTGATATTGCAGCTACTGTTAGTTGCTGACGCTTTGAATCACCTACTTGCATCTGACAGATACTTGGTATTACAGTAGCAATATCATTCGATAAATCCAAAGTATTGGATTGTCACCGGATTTGTGATTGACTTCCCTTCTAATAACCATCATAACATGTTAATAAAAAGTATGTGGTGCATTTTTTTCCCCCCCAAAATGTAAGATTGTTTGTTTGCTTTCCATATTAATATGTGCTTGCAATTAAAACTACTACTAAGAAAAAGGAAATGCCATTTGATTAGGACTCTGCCATGTTAGGTGTGCCTGACTTAAACCCCAGCATGAACAGTTGGACCCTCATCCTGTTCTTGGCATACTGGAGTCCAACCAGTGAAGTAGGGGTCCTCTGTCAGAATTTTATGTTCAAACTACAATACCAGATTTCCCAAACGGATGATGCTGCCAAGGTCCCCTGTAATTGCAGTGGTGCACAGTCCTGATGGAGCTTGGAGGGAGCCCATTGTTACTAGCAGTGTCCTGATCCAATGTGCTTTTTCTTTTTTGGATTTCACATTAAAATCTCAAGCAGCCTATTTGATTGACAGGCTCACACCAGTTCTACAAGTCGGCAATAACTTCATTAACTGTAATACACTTTAATATCTTTCTGTAATCTTTAAATTCATTGTATAAATACTCCATTTGTTGTTCATATATGTATTTTATTTTGTTTGTGAAGTTGCCTTTTACCTATTTTACTTATGCAAGGAAATCTTGCTTTTGGTTTCCATTCTTGCTGCAAGAGTGATGCAAAATTATTTACTCTACCTGCCAACAATTGGGGGTTTTTTTTGTTTTTTTTCTTAAGCTTCTGTTGCTTTTGCAAAAGAAAAATGTGTATGTGCATATACTAGTATTAACTCATTCACTTGGTACCCACAAGCACACAACTTCAAAGAAACATACTGTAGAGTCCTAAAATGGCAAACAATGACATAAGTCTACAAAGGAATATACTATTAAGTCATTATAATATTTTATTACATATATGGATTCTATAATGCAAGGTCATGAAAGTAAAGCATTAACTGTGACTCTTAAAATTCCTTAAATTTTATACGGTGTGTGTGTATGTATATATACTGTATATTAGTCAGCGAAGTCTTGTTTTGTGACATCTTTGAGACACTTAAAATTTGATTGTCACATGACTATTGTTTCTACAACTTCTTACTACCACCCAATGGAGATATGGAGGTATTACAGGAGTTTGCCTCTCCATGTGTAAATAAATGGGACATGTGTTGGGATTCCTGTAGTAACAGGAGAGGACCAGATTGCCCTCCTGTTGTTGAATTCATGTTTGAGATTTTTCTCTAACATTTTTCAATAGTTTTCTTTTTAATCAAATACTGAATACCAAATACTGAATAGAGTTAAATATTGCCAACACTTGTAGCAAGTTTGTGAACCAAAGTCGGCCAAGTTGAAAAAGGTAATAAAAATATTGCACTATGCTGGATTTACAAAAAATAAAGATATATATATTTTGATTCAGTTATCAGTTCATGTGTAGGATTTCTGTTGTATGCTTTATAGATGTATATAACTTTCTTTTTTTATTAAAGGTTGTGGATCATTTAACTTCTTTGTCTGTCTCTTCAATTGGAGGTTTACATTGTTATGCAGTATACGGTATTTTGGGAGCAGGTTTGTGTGTTAGCGTCCATTCATACCGATTCAGTGTCCCAAGAATCCTGTTACCTCTCACAGCACACCTAAACTCAATTATACTTAGTGGGGTCCTAGTGACTGCTTTTTTTCTTCTCTTCTGGCTGTGATGCAAAGTAACCAATCTTCCATATCTGATCCTTTGATGTGGCTGAAAGAACAGGATGTGGGGTAGTGGCCCCTGGGGATATGAGGGACCCTACTCTAGGACAGAGATAAGTATTGGGGGAAGGAACATTCTCCTTTTTGACTTTAGGCCCACTTTAACACTTTTTGGTGACGAAAGGTAATTGATACCTAGATGTTCAAACAATAATAACATACAGGCACATGAAAAAAGAATGCACACCACATGCCATTACAGCCTTGTCAGACAGATGACACTAAAAGACTTAGAAGACCTAGTGTGGCATAAATCCAAATCCATACAAGACTTCACCCATATAAATCCACCCTCCAAAAATACAGTACCTGCCTCTACACAGCCAAACAGACCTATTTCATTACACTCATTAACATCCTTTCAACCAGTCCCCGTCAACTCTTTTCTATCTTTAACTCCCTACTTCGTCCCCTGACGCCTCTTTCAACCAACGCATTGACTGCCCGGGAGGTTGCCAATCACTTCAAAGACAAGATTGATGCAATTCACCATGAGGCTGCCACTGTCTAGTCATCTGCTACTTTGAATACACCTTGTCTACCACCACATTCAATACTCTCTTCATTTGATCCCGTCACTGCAGACGAAGCAGATACTCTTATATCCAACACCCACCTAACTACCGGCCCCTTGCACCCCATCCCCTCACAACTACTCCGGTCACCCTCTAGCTCTATTCTACAATCTCTTACCCACATCTCCAATCTCTCCCTTTCCACTGGCATTGTGCCTACACCTCCAAAACAAGCATTGGTGAGCCATATTTTTGAAAAGCCCTCAATGGGGCCCACCAGTCTGAACAATTTGAGACCCATCACCTTGCTCCCATTTACCTCCAAACTTCTTGAACGCCTGGTCTACAACGGCCTGAGCTGCCACCTTACTGCTAACAACCTCCTCGACCCCTTTCAATATGGCTT